CCCTTGGTTCCAGTACCCCATCATCTACGACATTCGGGCCCGGCCGCGGAAAATCTCCTCCCCAACCGGCTCCAAAGGTGAGAGCGGGCCCCGCGGCCGGAGCACAGCGCGCAGGAGCCTGGCTGCGGCGCTGGCCGCGCTCATCTCCCCTTCTCTTCTTCAGACTTGCAGATGGTGAACATCTCGCTGCGTGTCCTCACGCGTCCCAACGCTGCGGAGCTGCCCAGCATGTACCAGCGCCTGGGGCTGGACTACGAGGAGCGGGTCCTGCCTTCCATCGTTAATGAAGTGCTCAAGAGCGTGGTGGCCAAGTTTAATGCTTCCCAGCTCATAACTCAGAGAGCCCAGGTAAACTCCTTATGCTCAAATGGCAAAGAAACAACTGAGCTGTGGGTGTGGGGAGCGTTTATATAAAGGATAAATATGTTAGGTTGGTAGGTGGTGTATCCAAATGGAGAGGGCATGCAACTGTATCCCACTTAGAGTTTGATGCAAACACTAAGGCTTCTGAGAACAAAATTGGATTTGTTGGTATATAGAGTGCAGAATTGCGCCATAATGTACTGGGAGAGGGCGAGCTGCTTTACATCATAATCCATAAAAGTAAATCTGTCTTAAAAAAATCCTGTTATTTGTCCCTTCATGGGTCTTGGAAGAGCTCCCAGAGCATATTAAACAGTTTTAAAGGATCTAAAAAGTGAAGTGGATGAGCAGTTACCAAAGCAGTAAGCTTTCTGTAGTGGGCGGTACAGAAGGGCAGGTAGTATTTCTGTTCAGAAAAAGATTAGAGGGTAGCCTGAGGGCAGGTTGCAAAATAATGGAAATATTTAGCTTTAAAAAAGCTCGTATCTGAAAGTTTGTGTTCTGATAATTTGATTGCCAGGGATTCTGAGAATATTCATCACCTGTCGCAGCTGAGGGAGAGAGAAGTTGCTGGTCTTTCTTTAAAAGGCTTTAGAGGAGATCCTGCATGAGACTGCTAAAGAGAATAAGTTGTCAGCTGAAATATGAAGCATCTCTTAACTAGTTTCTGATTCATGACAAAAAAAGAAGCAAAGAGGAGAACTAAGTGCCCAGGTCTTGTTGTAAGAACTGTTCTATAGCAGGGACTCCAGGGTTCTCTGGTAGGCCACATGCTATGTGCTGAAGGGATTTGTTAACAGTCTTGTATAAAGAGAATGAGTGGAAAGGGGGGATGTGACTGCAGAGAAACAATGTCTGCAAAGGGAATTAGGTTTATCAGAAACAGTGACAACTGTTAAGTATCTGAAACTTCTGAACAAACTGAGTTGAATATAGCTTCTCATATGTTCATTTAGTGTTTGTTATTGTGAAGTGATGGGTATTGCAGCCCATGGGTATTGACTTTACATAGTTAGGCACTTGCAGCTGACACAGTGAAGGTTTCTGAAGCATTTTAGAACTGTGCTCAGAAACAGCTGCAGTAGAAGTAAAAGCAGAAGCTAGGCTGGCCCAGCATGTGATACTGCAGCAGTCACTGTTATTGAAGCCAGTATTTGGTGCAGCACTTGTGGGCCTGCCTGAGAAAGGTGCTGACATCTTAAAGGTAGAATGGATCAAAAATATCTACCAACAACACTCTTCCAAAGAGACTAATACAAGTGGAGTACCCACACTGGACGAGTAGCTTCCGTTAATGAAGAGATGTGATATGTAGTTAACAAGAAACAATGTGGGTTTTTCCCCTTGCATCTGAATACAAATGTGAGGAGACACTCAAACTGCCAACAGTGGCAAATAGAGGTGGAGAAGGAAATACTTGTTGCCAAAACTTGAAACGTGTGGAAACTGTGGAACTAGATGTGGTAGGATGTGAAAGCAAAAAAAAAAAACCAAACCCAAATCACAGAAGATTATTTTTGTAATATGGATTGTATAGTTAATAATAGCTATAAATAAGCTGTGATACCTTTTGGATATGTAGATTCAGAGATGGTATTAATGGCTGTGCTTCAGGGTTTGTTCTAGGTAATGTCTCTGTGAATGTGAATGAGCTCTGAGGAGTGGTTGTGCTTCACTTGTGGAGTGCACAGGAGGGATAAGCAGCCTGTGTTTGCACTCTTCTCACTGTATTTGTCTTTCAGGTGTCTTTGCTCATTAGGCGAGAACTGACAGAGAGAGCCAAAGACTTCAGCCTCATCCTGGATGATGTGGCTATCACAGAGCTTAGTTTCAGTCGTGAATATACAGCAGCTGTGGAGGCTAAGCAAGTGGGTGAGTTCCGTTTATGCCTGAAAATGCCTTTGCCCTTCCTCTGAACTGGTGAACAAGGAAGGGGGATTTGGGCTGGCATGTTGCTGCTTCTGCATTGATACAGATACAGAATGATCAACCTCAGTCTCCTTAGTAATGGAGCTAAACAGGTTATTTTACAAATACTATCAGAAAACTTGGCTATAGCCAATGGGATGGACCATCAGAGGGACTGAGTTCCCAAGACCAGGCTTCCTCTTCAGACTGTGACTCGCCACTTACTGTGGGGATCATGTGTAGACAGTCTGGATGCTGCTGACTTTATCTAACAAAAACGTAAAGGACACTCAGATACGTTTCACAGTTGCAGATCTGGCTCCAGAATGCCATCAGTTCTTCTGGAAGCAGGGCCCGCAGGCCTCAGCTCCAGGGTCCTGGTGGAGGTCTAAGAAGATGGGATGCGTTTCCAGTGCTTTTGGCCATTCTCTTTGCAGCCCAGCAGGAGGCCCAGCGTGCACAGTTTCTGGTGGAGAAGGCCAAGCAGGAGCAGAAGCAGAAGATTGTTCAAGCTGAAGGGGAAGCTACAGCTGCCAAGATGATATCCTGCTTTGGGAAATTTTGTGGGATGTGGCTTGTGAGCTTGACACAATTTGTCGCATTGATTTGTCTAAGGTTACAGGTCAGAACAGAGCTATGAGCCTTTACTTCCTGTTGTAAGGTTTAATTTCTATTGGCTGTGTGTGACCATAATCCATAATGTTGTTATTGATTTAGGGAAGTAGGAATATGCCTGCCCAGAGGCCCATATTACTGGGACAGAGATTGCTTTTCCCCCCTAAAATGTTTCTAGGAAGAAATTCTTGAGGGTAAGTGGCTTTTGTTAGGATTTTCCTTAACTTTGGCTCGGCTATACCTGGGGGAAGCTCTCAGCAGGGATCCAGGCTACATCAAGCTACGTAAAATCCGAGCTGCTCAAAACATCTCAAAAACGGTGAGCACAGAATTCCCTTTGTCCTTTTGCAATCCTAGTGCTGTTCTCCCAGCCCAGTGGCCACATGATGAATTTAAGGCGAATGTGACCTGTCCTGTCCTGATCTTTGTTCCTGTGCAGCCCTTTTCTTCTCAAGTAGAGCTTAAGATTTAGCTTGCAATGATCGGCAGTTAGGGGTGAGGCCAGGAGCTCGTGCCCTCCGTGTGACAAGGCCAGATCCACATCAGATTCCATCACCCACACTCAGCTGCAGCCACCAAAAGCTCCTGGTTTCCTGCAGGCTGAGAAAGGGGAACAGATAAACATGGGATTGAAGGTCTTTCTGACAGAGAGACAGAATGAGCACTTCTTTCAGAAAGTCTGATGGCACTGGGATGAAAGTCCAGAGTTGTTTTGGGGAATTGCATTGCTTTAACTGAGGTCTTAAGTGAGTAAGACAAGTTCTGTATCTAGAGGGGGAGAGAAGTTCTTTATTAGTGCTGCGTGTGCATTTATACTCTTTGTGTCATGGATTTCTTTTTCAGATTGCTGCCTCACAAAACCGTGTGTATCTCACAGCAGATAACTTGGTACTGAACCTGCAGGATGAGGGCTTCACCAGGTAAAGGGGCCAGATGGCTGCAGTTATCTGTACCCTACTTGTAAAGCTGATCCCAGAGGACACAGCCAAGCAGGGAGCAGTCTGTCTTACTTAAGAAATGACATTTGTGTTAAACTGTTAAATCTAATCAATGTACTCTTTGTTTTTCCCCCCTTCCCCTTCACTGCATCTCCTGACACGCAGAGGAAGGTGAGGCACTGTTTCTTTTCATCCTTTTTTTTAGTACTTGGAACAGGGGTGTTGATGTTTGCCTGGTGCCTGGGATGTTTCTGGCTTGGTCGTTTCTGGCCACAGGAAGTTTATTCCATGTCTACCTCAGATCCCATTTGTGATGTGAAGCTTGAAGCCTTACTTGCAGGGGCAAGTAGGGTGTATCCAGTAACTGAAGCTCTCTGTGTGTCCGATAGGGAATCTTGTATGGGAAAGGCAGGAAGAACTAAGGAGTGTCCCCGTGTAGACAGTGCATCCTGCATGTATGGCAAAGGTGGCTGTAAGAAGGCAATTAGATGGTTGTAGGAATTTGGGTTGGGGTAACAGTCCTAGGAAAGATGCTTTCCACGTCCATGCTAGAAAACCCCATTCCCTGCTTTCGGAGCTGGCAGGAGTTTGGTGGCTTTGTGTAACCTGTCCAGTGTTTATGGACAAGGCAGTGCCAGCTGAGCAGCTAAAACTTATATTTCTTAGAATCAAGAAGGGAAGCCAGAGCTGGTTTCTTTTCTGTGTCATCTCTGATTACTCTTCCATAATCTGACAAGATTATGCCTTACTCATCCCAGAAGGTTCAAAGGGCTTTGCTAGGAGGAAGAACTTGGAAGCTCCGAACTTTTGGATGTTACACCCCACACCCCCAAGTCTGTAGTGTAGGTCTGGTTCAGCTTTGTTTGCACTTTCTGGACTAATGACTCTTTTCTGTCTCCCTTCCAGTGACAGTCTCCTACCCAAGCAGAAGAAATGAGAGAAACTAAAGCCTCCCAGAACCAGCGGTGCTACCCAGCAGCAGATAGGACTGAGGAGCTTGAAACTCCCTCCACTGGCATTGTTTGCCCTCACTTTGACATTGTTAATCCAGTAGCCAGATTTGGTTCCTGTGCCCCTGCTCCATTTGTGGTGGTCCAGTTAGAGGATTGGGTTCTGCCTCTGGGCAGCTGTGATTCCTTCCTCCCCCTCACCAGTTAAATATGGGGACAGGGGAAAAGGGGACTTACTGGGATTAACTCATGTGGATATAGTAATTCACCTCTAATCTTCATTAATCTGTAGATTTTTGTAGGTAAAATCAGAATTTTTTATTTTATTTTTTTTGGCCAAGTGAGGGAGTTCTGCTGCCCTGAGCACCAGGCTTTTTTGATAGTAAATCACATTTCTCTTTCACTCTTGAATCCCAAGAGAACCTGGGCCTGAATTCAGGAAAATGTCATTCATTGGGTGCCTGTTACTGCTGGAAGCTCTATTTGTGTCACTGTCTGCTCAGTGATTCTTTCAAGCATTTGTAAGAATTAAACCCCCCCAAATTTATACTGCGTCTTGGTGTACTTAGTGTCTGAAAAAGAGGTTATTTTGTGGAGGGGGAGGTAGAAATAGAACTTTAACTTGGTTGAAGACAGAATTGGGTTGTGGAGAAAGGAGCAAGAGAAAAACCCTGCTGTTCACTGAGAGATCACAGGGTGGGGAGAGAATGTGGACAATCATGTAGCTGCATGGGTGGCCAGGGCTGGTTTCTTAGCTGCTTGTAGGTGCTAGGGATGACAATAGGTTTACCTGCTTTTCCGTGTCACAGCAGCATCCATGTTCTGTATCCTGACCTCCATTACACTTGGGTTTTTGTTTTCCTCTCCCTGCTTTCCTGGCCAAAAGTACAGGAGAAGCCTTCCTCCACTGATTAAACTCTCTTCTGTGCTTGGGTTTCAAAGGCAAAATCTTGGCTGCTTCAGGGGCTGGTTTTTTTTCCCTGTCTCGCTGGGACCTGGTATTTCACAGAATCATAGGACATCTTGAGTTGGAGGGGAGCCACAAGGAGCACCGAGTCCAACTCCTCAACCTGAAAGTTAAACCACGGATAAGAGCAGCATCTAAACAGGCCTTGAACAGCACCAGGCTTGGGGCCGTGACCTCTTCCCTGGGGAGCTGGGATCACCCTGGAGCAAAGAACTTCCTAACATCAAATCTGAACTTATCCATGTTGAAGCTTTCAGCCAGTTGCTTGTGTCCTGCTGCTGGGCACCGAAGAGCAGACATCAGCATCTCCCCCTGCTTCCTCTCACAAGGGAAGCGTAGGCAGCCATGAGGCCAACCCTCAGCCGCCTCTAACTGAGCAAGCCTGGTAAACAGCTCTTCCTCACAAGTCAGGCCTTTCACTATCCTTGTTGCCCTCCTTTAGATGCTAATATTTTCAGATCCTTATATTGTGGAGCCCAAAACTGCACATAGGACTCAAGGTGAAGCTGGACCAATGCTGAGTATAGTGGGATCATCACCTTTGGCTGGTTAACTGTACTGTACCTAATGCCTCCCAGGATAATAGTGGGATTTTTGCCTGGCAGGGCACATTTTTCACTGGTAGAGCTTACCATCAACCAAAATGCCCAGATCCCTTTCTGTAGGGCTGCACTCCAGCCTCTTGTCCCCCAGTCTACATGTCCAGCCAGGGTTACACCATTCCAGGTGCAGAATCTGGCATTTGTTCTTGTTAAATTCCATGTGGAATGCATGCAGAAGCCTGTGTGTGAGTTTGTCACAGCTAACTTTCTGTGCTCAGATTTGCCTGACAACTACCAACGCGCAAGCCCCAAGCCAAGGAGCCACCATAACTGGTCACAGCTTCTGTTAGGGAGTCTGAAGGCTGCAGAAAAGTGATGAAAACTAAGCTAGAGCCATTCTTATAGGTTGTTGCAGAGCTGTGAGTGAAGCCAGGAGTGCAGCTATACTCAAAGAGAAATTACAGAGAAGAAGCTTCTGGGACTCAGCATTCAAAGAAAAACAATTTTATTTACAACCAAAGAAGAAAACAGGGCTATTACATCCAATTCTGGTGTATTTACAGCATCCAATCAAAGGATCAAATAGAAAAGGGATCATGAGAAGAGGGACTCTTCATCAGGGACTGTAGCAATAGGACATGGGGTGATGGATTCAGACTGAAACAGGGGAAGCTGAGGTTGGATATAAGGAAGTTCTTCCCTGTGAGGGTGCTGAGGTGCTGGCACAGGGTTCCCAGAGAAGCTGTGGCTGCCCCATCCCTGGCAGTGTTCAAGGCCAGGTTGGACACAGGGGCTTGGAGCAACCTGCTCTGGGGTGAGGTCTCCCTGCCCATGGCAGGGGGTTGGAACTGGATGATCTTAAGGTCCTTTCCAACCCAAACCATTCCATGATTCTGTACGGCAGATCGTTTGAATTGAGAGAGGAAGCTGCCTGTTGAATTGCAGAGTTGCTGAGGTGAAATGGGCCAAAACCTCTATACTTTAAAAGCTGAGGCTTCAGGGAACACTGACAGGCTAAATTCTAACTCAGAGCAGAGGGCAGAGATGTAGCTCCTGTAAAGAGCTTCCTTCACTCTTCTTCAAGTTCACTGGAGCTGACCCAGCAGAGGTGAGCTTGGGCCCCAGTGCTCAGAGAGCAGGGGAAAGAAGGGGGCTGATTGTTTCCTACTGCTGAAGGATGAAGGGGCAGCAGGAGACACTGCTGGCCTGCACAGGCAAGGTATGAGGAAGTCAGTCAGCTGAGCTGGAAAGCAGCCTGGTTCAGGGCTGAAAGATGGGATGGACAAGGAAGGGGAAGACCTAATTTCAGTCCAAAGGCGAGGAATGCAAGACAGCCCAGCCTGGATGTGACCGCCAGTCCTGCACCCCTGGTTCAAACCCCCCATGGGGCTACCTGCAGCCTATCTTATTTTTTCTTTAGTGAGCCTTTCAGTTTCTTCTCCAAGGAGTACTGCTTCCGCGCCTTCTCCTTCTTCCCCAGGTTCTCATAGATCATTGACTCCTCTTTCTGCCTGAAAACCAGGGAAAAACAAGGGAAAAAGTGAGCAAGAAGCCAGCCAAGGCAACAGGGAGACCATTGCCAGACACAGGCTAAGCTGTGCCTCTGGTTTAGGTGAGCTCTTACTTGGAGGGATTCCGTGAAGCTTTGGCATGCACGTTCCTTGCTGCAGGGGGGTAGGCAATGTTCCCATACTCAGACTCGTTTGGCTTGCCTTTCTGAGACTACAGGAGAGAAATACCAAGCTGAGAAGAGTGTCATCTGGGGAAAGCAACGTGAGGCATCATGGAAGGGTTCTGGCTGTTTGACCATGCTCCATGCTAGGATCTCAGTGGAGGTTGGTGGGTTGCTGAAGGCCTCAGGCTCAGTGCACTCTGCCCGTTGCACTCGCAGAGGGATGAAAATGCATCCTTGTAACAGGGGTGAACAGTGGGGCAACCAATATCAGGAGGCACTGGAATGCCTGAGAGTGCCCCATGTCAGCCAAAGAATATGAAACAGCAGCAGTTACTGGAAGCTACAAAGAGAGATAAAAGATGCCACTTACCAGGTAGCAGGAGAAAATCCTGCAACTGCAGAACCAGCACAGGAAACAAAGAGGGAAAGGACAGGGCAAAGTCTTGTAACAAAACAGTGCTTGGTGGAGGTGTTAGGTAGAACATAGTTTAAATAACTGCATTAAAGCTGTCTAGCAGTTCAGAATGGGTTGGTGCTTGAGCTGCTAATGTTGTCCTCTGAATTTTCAAGAGAGGAACAGAGACTCAGACCTTTGTGCAGCATCATAGTCTATGTAGGTCCCAGTGCTAGCTTGGGAAACAGAGCACACCATCCCAGGCCTCGACTCATAGGACAGGAAAGCAGAGTCCTCTTTCTCACCTGGATAACTTCCAGCTTTTTCTTGGTTGTCTCTATGAACTGGCAGATGGCCATGTAGATGAACTTGTACTGGGCCTCTGTCTGCACCATCCCTGAGCGCTGGGCCCTCACCATCTGAATGGTCTTCTGGATGTCAATGTCACAGTCCAGCCCTAGCAAAAGGCACCAGGAAAGCTTATGGACATGTTTGCTGCCCCCCTCTCCCAGTTCTCCACCACAAGCAGTCACAGTGGAGGTCAGTCAAGAAGTTTCCACCTCCCTCCATGTTCTTTACTCCTGTAAGGACCTCCTATCCCTCCTTCCTGCTCAGCATCTTTCAGGTCTGGCCCTGGAAAAAGAGCCCAAGCTCAGGGAAGGCTGAAGCCACAGTGAGTGGGTATGGTGCAGAGATCCAGCAGCTGCCACACAGCGAGGACAGTGCAACCTCCTCAGGGCTGTGGCAGGATCTCTCCCACTGATACCTGATGGTTTTCATCCATTTGCAGCTGGACTTAAGGGCACAGCCCTACTGGGTAGGCCAGTTCAAGATACTTTGGGGTCCTCTTACCCTTGGTGGAGATTGTTTCCACTATCATATCAATGATGATGATAGTCCCAGTGCGGCCAATCCCAGCACTGCAAGGAGAGGACAATCAGAGGTCAGAGCAATACAGCTCCTGAAACAAAATGCAGCTGCTTCTGGGAAAGGACACAGCACTTGTAGAAGCTGTTCATCAATGCCACAGAGTCACAGATTCAATAGGCAGAGTTTGGTTTGGGGGCATCAAAGAGGACAAAGTAAGTATCAGGGCTGGCACATGCTTCATCCGCAACTCCTGGGAACAGCTGGTGGAGCAAGAGAGACTTTCTGTACCTCACCCTAGAGGAGGGATGGAGAATGCTTCAAACCCCAGCCTCTACTAACCTGCAATGTACCAGAATAGGCCCTGCATCTGGGATGCTCTCTTGCTTCTGGTTGATTTGGTCAAGGAAGCTGAGAACTCCTCCTGGCTCGCTGGGTACACCATGGTCAGGCCAGCTCAGGTACTGGTAGTGCCAGATCTCACGCACGGCCTTACCCTGACAGCAAGAAGACACCCCACTGGTAAAACTGCAACCCAGTCCTATCCCTGGCCTCTGTCCCAAGGAGAGGTGGGTCTGAAGCCAGAAGGAATCATAGAATAGTTAGGGCTAGAAAGGACCTCAAGTTCCAACCCCCCTGCCATGCGCAGGGAATCTGTCTCCTGTTCATTTCTTTGTGACTCCACCATGTAAGTCCAGCCCAAACCAGGTGGGAACAACCTTCCAAACAATGATTCAACAGCAGCATCACCACAGCACCCAGCAGTTCCCAGCCTTAGACAGACAGTGACTGTTAGACCCGCTGGCTCAATGGCAGCCCTCGAGCAGGCATACTCACGTTATCTTTTGGACACACACAGAGGTGACGGAGTTTGTACTCCAATGCATCGTGCTCCCCAGCGTTCTCCACGAGGTAGGGACCATATTCCTTCATGTTGCCCACCTCTGGCCAGTAAGGCACACATTTGTTCTGTGTAGGCAGAAAGGACGGGGTGAGGATGGGCAGAAAGCAGGAAAGAGAGAAGCAGCAGAGCAGTAGCTGAAGAAGAAAAGAGGGCAGCTCTGAAATATCAACAAGCCACTACTTACACGTCCTTTTTCTACCTCCCGTGTAGTCATCACGATAATGCGGGTGTTCTCCTGCCACACCATTTGCCAGAAGTCATTGACTGTGGCGTCCAGGCAACCCTGACTGGCAATGTAGGTCTTGGTGCAGTCATCTGGGCTGACCAGGTGGTTCTGAGTGTGGAAAAGGGAAGGTCAGAGGGCTGCAGAAGCAAGAGGCCTTCCCTCATTTTGGGCAAGCAGACGTCTTTCAAGAGTCTCACCTTGATATAGTTGGCATTGATATAGTCAGATCCGGGTATATTTGGGTCCCTTCCTTGGAGAACGACTCTGGAATGATCAACTGGGGATGCAGTGAGAAAATAAACAGAGCACTGAGATGCTCTGATTCTCAGAGCCATGTGAAGCTGTGTCACTGCCCCGCCTTGTCCATAAGTCCCAGTGCATGCAGCATGCCCCTTATTTTCACCTCTCCTTCTCTCACCCCTATGATGGGCCATCAGAAGCTAATGAGTGCGATGCAACCCTCCCTCCTTCCTTCAAAGACATGAAAAGGCTGTGACCTCTTTCATCAGCTCTTACATCCTCAGTGCAGCACACCTTTAAACGTGTTCTGAAGGCTAGAGCAGGCTGAGGCAGAGCCAGGGATGACTCAGGCAGCTCTTCATTGCCTTTCTGTGTCTGTCTGGGGTTTTTTATGGTGGAAAAGCAAGACTCACAGGGCAAGATGTTCTTGTATCGGTTCTTGCTCTTGTTTTCAGGTCTCTGACCCTCGTGGCGGTCAAACAGCTGCTTGGCTTCCTGTTTTTGCAGACTCTGAGAGCAGAAGAAAGAACAGTCACGGCAAGGTCACGCTGTGCGACAGAGGAGGTGGGCACTCGCAGGAACACTGGTGACGCTGGGACACATGATGTGCTAGCAGGAAAGCAGAGAAGTGAAAAGGAAACCTGGACTTGGAAAGTCCAAGGCTCATGCCCTTCCTGTCTTGGTAACTTGTTCTCCCAGCCATGAAAAAGCACACTTCTACCTCACTGGGTTTGCTTAAAGGTGAGCGAGAGGAACAGGTTCCGGAGACTTCTTTCAAGAGATAAATTGACAAGAATTGACAAGACACCCAGAAGTTTGTGTCCAGGAAGAAATCAAGGATGGAGAATGAGGTGGTGCACAGGGACTTCCCAAAAGGCCAGAATCATGTCCCCCAGCAGTTTCTTACATCAAACTCCTCCCAGAATCCAGCCTTGGATGCTTCCTCAGATAGACTCTTCTTGTTCAGTTCCTGCACTCTATTTTCAATGTCAGCAGCATTCACCCTCGTAGCGTAGTAGGGCTGGGAATGGGAAAACACAATGGGTTGCCATGAGAGAGATGCTGCTGGAGAGCAAAGTCTCCTCTGTGTGCTGTGGAGAAAAGGAGAAGAAGGACACAAAGCAGAAACAAACAGCAAGTGGCTCCCTCCAAAGGATCCCTGAGAAACAGAGGAAATGGGATTTACCTGCTTCAGGTACACAAAGGAGCCAGACACCTCTTCAATTCCAGTCTTCTTGAAGTGCTCCACCAGATCTGCCAAGCTGTCAAATGTTTCAGCACCTCCAACTGTGTAGCGACCATTCTAAACAGAAGAAGAACGTGTAACATCCCACAACCCCATGTAGACAAAGCTGATAATGCTCAAAGGTGCAAAGCCATAGGCACTACCCTGTGCCATCCAGAAAAGCATTCCTCCGGCAGGGAGGTCAAATAGTAGAGAACACTAAGTTCATAGCATGGTCAACTGCCTCCTGTTGTCAGTGGATGGAAGCCCAGGGAAGGTGTATTGCCCTCAGCTCTCATTTAAGGTCAGTTGTCATTGAAATCTCCCTCCACTATCTGCACCATCCCACGTGAAAGAAATAGAACTGGGGACAGCCACATTGGTCACATCCTTCAGACCAAGTGCCAAGGCCTTGCAGATGCTCCTCCAAGAGCTTTTAACTCTTCTGATGAATTCAGACTTAGACTGTGAATTCTCCTCTGTCTTTCACCACAGACTCCCTGTACCGGAGTTCCCAGTCACACTGAGCCCTGCTTGTGTCTGAGCACCCAGCCAATAGTCACCCCGACTGGGGTGAGGACATAAAGAACCTGCAAGGTGTCAGTGCTTTGATCCAGCTTCAGGAACACTGCTGCTAGTAACCAAGCCATGAGGGGCCATGCCTTTGAGGGCACAATCAGCAGGGATTGGCAGAGACCTCTTCCACTCCCTTTCCTTTTGCTCTCCCAGCTGCTCACCTCACACATGATCTTGATGTGTGTGACTTTGAGCCGGTCCCCTGTGGCACTGGTTGCCCCAACTGGTGGAGCATCAGAGCCAGGTTTAAGCTGGTCAGTGAGGACAGACAAGACAAAATCCCCAGGTTTGCTGAGGCTCTCTCGCACCAAAAAGGTCCAAGGGGTGGCTTTGGCCTGGAGAAGTGACTCAGCTGCAGAGCCTGACAGATGCCCATGGTACCACCTAGGAAAAAGACAAGAGGGTCAGAAGAGGTGGGGAGATACAGGTAAGTGCTCTTGAGCTGATGAGTGAAGGACAGCAATGCTGGAGAAGCATGAGGGAAAAGGAAGGAAGGGGGAGACAGAGGGGAAGGAAAGAGATAGGGAAGGAAACCAGGGGAGGAGCAGGATCTTGGGACCCAGGGAGCAGAATACTGGTACCTGAGGATGGAGTGAGAAAGCACTAAGTGTGATCCAGTTGTGCGATACACACAACCACAGCTAAGTGATGTTTGCTGGCTTGAAGACCAGTTGAGAGAGGGTAGTCCATGGGTTTCAGCACCTCCCAGGATTCTTGCCTTACTGCTGCAAGATGCTTTGGAAGCTCAAGCACCAGTCAGAAACTCTCCCATGGGATTTAGCAGTACCCAGATGGCTGTGTTGAGATCAGATCCATTAAAGAGCCACCCAAGCAACCCCTCTTTCTGAAACTCAGTCACCTCTTCAATCAAAGGATAATTCCCATTCCCTGGGCACACTACACCACAGCAATCAGCCTAGACATGGGATTGGACACAAGGAGCCACCTAAAGCCAATATAGCTGCTCCTGGTACTTATTATTGTTGTTGATCCATGTGCACATTCCTGTCCTCAGTGCAAACATCCAGTCTCCAGCTCCTTCTCTCAGCACAAGGCAAAGGAGCATCCCTTTGACCAAGGTGCTCTCTGGCTGCAGGTCTGCCGCCGGGTGCAGAGGGACACGAGCACGGTGCAAATAGCACCGCTGCTGCCAAGCTCCTTCCCACCTACAAAGGTCTCAGAGCAGTGTGTGTGCCCAGTGGGATCTCATTGCACTGTGTGGTGTGGGTACAAGTGACAGTCCCCAGAAGCTGGGAGATGGGACAAGCCTGGCCCTGCAAAAGTGCCAGTTTTGACCCAGGTTGTCTCTGTGCAGATCCTCTAGTTCCTCATGCCTGTCCCAAGCTCCACAGTCTCTCTGGAGCACACCAGAAGGTCAGGGGGAGCACTTCTGAGCTGACAAGTAGATATGCAGAAGGCCATGTTAACTGCAGCTCTGTCCTGCTTCCACAAAACTCGCTTGGAAGCTGGAGCTAGAGATCCAGACTACAGAAAAGCAAGAGCTGCAAGGTGCTCTGGACACTGGGAAATGCTCTGAATCATCCCACTCCTCTGTTACCCATTTTCTGGTAGAGCCTCTACTGAGTCTGACACATAGAATGATTTGGGTTGGAAGGAACCTTCAAGATCATCCAGCTCCAACACATCTCAGCCCAAGGGCCACTGCAGCCCTGGTGCTCCTGCCCTGGCCCCTTCACTCCTTCCCAGCTCAGTGTCAAGGAGGGGATTTGGGCACTTCTCCACCAGCATGGATGGGTTCAAACAGGCCCCTCTGGCCCTGGGCTGGAGACCCAGCTGCTGAGTTTGGCCATTTTCCCTGGTGAGCAGCATTTCCGAAGCGGGCAGCTGATGCATCAGACGGACTTGTAATGCTCCTCCCTGCTCCTGCTCCTTGTGGGTACCGCAACAAGCAATAGTGATGCTCTGTGCACCACTGCATGCACTGCTGTCAAGGCCAGGCTGATGCTCCTAGTGTGGTTAGAGCTGTGGGAGCAGGTTTGCTGCTAACAGCAGAGGTCTGGAGTGGTACTGGTGTCTGTGGTGAACTACACATTGTTAGAGCTATCTGCCCCAAAAATTGAAGTCGAGCCCAGGAGGCCCCAGTCACAGAAGCAGCTGGGGCATTCATTCACCCCTGCATCTGGCCAGAACAATACATTCCTCTACACAACATCTAGGAATCATTTTGACAGTAAGACATGGCAGACAGTTATTGTGCTGTGGCAATTAACTTCTGTTTGATCCTCACCTCATGCACTGCAAGAAGCAGCAATGACATTCACTGCATGGCAGTTGTTAATTCCTGAACCTCCTCCCAAAGAAGTGTTCAGCCACCATGTACCAGTGCTCAGATGCCCCCCAGGGAATGTTTGACCCCTCTTGCTCATCAGAGAGGTCTCCCCTCCACAGGTAGGAAGGGGTTAATGGGTCCCAGTAAAGCCCAGCTCTTCAAAGCCACGTGATGGAAAATCACTTGGGGAGAGAGTGAGAGGAGCTTTCGTAAGAGCCTTGCGGGCAGGGAGAAGTTTCCAACCGCAGAGAGGAAGGGAGGAAACTGCAGGGCCACAACCCAACGGCCTTGAGCAGAGAGGACAGCCGGCAGGCAGATGCTGGCCCCTCTGCAGCCCCATCCCCAGGGCAAGCAGGGGCATACCCAGGCACTTTGCCCAGGGAATCTTTGCTCCCTGTCTCCAGGTGCATGAGGAGGACCCGTCCGCCCCAGCACATGGTGTGAACTGCTCTCTGCCCTGAAAACGCAGCGCAGCAGCAAGAGCAAAACCACCTGATTTGATTTAGGAACTTGGTGTCAGAGACATATGCAAAGTGGAGACAGGAAAGAGACTAAGCAGGCTAGGAATAGCTGGAGAACATGGTCCTGCTCTCAGCTATGTGAGTCACTCAGGCCTGGAATAACCAAAGAGGTCTGGGGCAAGACTGCGGGCTTCCACATAATATGTCACTCTACAGGCTGGTGCAGACCCATAGCTAATACCATAACCTTTGCTTTTAGGAACAGTATATTAATAGCAAAGGCAACAGGAAACCAGAAGCAAAAGTAGAGCCCTCTTAGGTCTGCTGTGATGTGTCAAGGTATAGCCTGGCGATGCTGCCCCTGTGGAAGCATAGGAAGATATGGGAGGCAGGAGATGCTTTTTGCAGGGTTTTCCCTGGGGATGCAGGCAGGGCAGAAAGAAGGCCTTGAAGCACAGAGGAGGTCTCACCACAGACACACATTGGCTGCTTTGTTTTCTCCATACCTTTCTGTAGTGGGGTCGGAACAGTTAAGCGGGTATCGCAAGTCAATGATGGTTCCATCTTTGTCTTGCAGTGAGCCCTGTTGCTGCGTGTAGTACTCCACCAGTTCTGACAAGGTGGCAAACTTCTCCCCTCCATACAGGTCATAGAAATCCCCAGTGTTCTGGATGCGGATGTGGGTTACCTGATCACCGACCCTATGGGATGATGCACAGTGAAGCAGTTGGAAAAGAGGCAGAAAATGTTCTGCATTACCTCCTGCCATGGAGCCAGAGCAAACCATCCCAGTGAAAAGAGGTGACTGGAAAGAGAAACTCCTGGGGCAATTCCCAGTGCCTAGAAGATCCTGGGAAGCTCGGGTCCTTTGGAAAGAACTCAAAGGAATAAGGAAGAAGATGCCACAGGACATGTGAGGATCGAAGCATTCTGAGTATGTAACCCTGGAAAGACAGAAGCTGTGGTCCAAGTTACTTACCTGACTGAAAGAGAAAAATCCCCCTGATTCTTCCGACTGGGTCTGGCCAGAAAGCTGCCATGGACACCCCGTCCCTTCAGTAAGGCTTCAGCTTCCAGCCCACTCAGGTCACGGTGAAACCACCTAGCAGGAGAGATAAAAACAAGACCAAGTGAATAAAAAAGACTAGGCACTACTGTGGAGGTTTGTACAGTGAAGCATGGACCCAGTCAGCATCCCTAGAGATACCCATGCAGGTGACAGCAGCATCCCTTTCTACCTTCAAGTTTTCCATTGAGATACAACTTCCAGGATGATTGATCCCCCAATCTGTCCTACTTTCCTAGTTCCCCCTCTTTCCACACACACACACTTCTCAGTCCCTCTTACCTCACCATCGTGGAGAGCAAATGAAGAGGGGGCAAGCGTCTACCACCAAAGCAACTCAAAAAGCACAGAGGAGAACTCGGTTTGCACTGGTGAGAAACGGGAAGTCGGAGGTCTGCGCTGGAGCACCCAACACCACGCTGGTTCTGCGCCTCTTGGGAGCGGGGCATGCATCTCTCCCGGTGTCTACCATCAGTCCAGTATCAGTCCATTCTGACCCTCTCCATCCACCCGCGTCTGGCTCAGTGCCTTGGTCTCCAGCCCTCTGCAGTGTGCTGTGGGGCACAGGCAGGCGTGAGCCTGTGCACAGCTTGGCACGCGCGGCTCCAGGGACAGGAAGCGCTCTGAGCCATCAGCTCCCCAGCCCCAAGCTGCTTTGCACACACTTCTGCTTCTCCTTTTGCGTCTTTTGTCCCCCCCCCCCATCCCCTGTTACTCTCTGGTTCCCTGTTGTCTTTCACACCAAGGCTGACTCTACAAGTGCATCTTGGGTCCTGGCTGCGCTCATAGAATTCAGTTCTGCACGTCCTCTGGTCCCCTTCTTCCCCAAAAGGCCAATGAGAGGCATGAGTGCTCCCCACCTCCAAGTCCTTGTCGTGGTGCCAAGCTGCTTGGGGTCACTCACACACCTGCAAGGCTGAAGCAGGCAGCAGCACACGGTGACATACACTGAGCAATGAAGCACCCCACTGCAGGTTACATCTGTCCAGCCACACAGCTTGGCTCTACTGGGCTGCCCTCAGCTACCTACCTGAAACCTCTATACTCCAGTTTGCTGATGAACCCTCTGGGCAGGTAAATGTTCAACATGCTCTGTACAGCTGCAGGGGGAAATCTGTGCAAACCCAGACTCTAAGGTCCAGGCAAGCAATCTAAGCACAGGTCTGCCTTCCTGAAAATAGCCTGCTGGGGGATGTGACTGATGTGAGCAGTGGTGGCTCAGAAGGGATGGTGTGGGAAGTAGCCTTGAAGCTGCCCAGAGAAGCAGGACAAACAGCTATACCTACAGCATGCCCATTCAACACCAAGGTTGCTTAGCCTAGGACCTTCAAGATCCCAGTGCAGCATACTGAAGCCAACCTGGACAACTAGATATAAAGAAGGAAAACTAACCATTTCCAGATACCCAGTAGCCATTTCCAGCCATGGCCCATGACTGCTCTTCTCCATAGCACTGGTTTCAAGGTCTGCAAGTGTCAAGAAAGAATGGGAGTTAAGCAGTGGCGAAAGAGGGCAATCCAGCTGGTAAAGGAGCTTGACTTTTAACTGAGGCCACCACAGCTACCCTGTGTGGTGGTGTGGGCAGCAGGAACAGCAAGAAAGGTGCTCATGTCAAGTAGGAGCACTACAGCCTTCCCTGCACCCCACCAGACTGGGAAACCCTGCGGAAGCTGAACAGGCTGCTAGCAAGGAGTGAGACAAAACTCGTGGCTAAGACAGGAACTAACAACAAAGAGAAGTACAGGGAAGACGAGTGGGAAGCTAAACCTTCTTGCTAGAAAGGCAACCCAGGCACCTACAGGAGCTTCCTTTGAAATGCTTCTATTTTCACACACAGGATGGGCTGGGATGTGGGGAGGTGCAGAGATCCAACTGTCCTGACTTAAAACTAACAGTAAAAATAAGGAGAGTTTAAAGGCACAGAAACCTGCGGCTCTTGGGAACAATTTCTACACAAAGGTGTAGAAGTTGCACCTAAAAGACTGCAGCTAAATCAGAGCCAGTCTAAGCACTGGCCCAGGACAGAAATATTGTTCAGTGGTAGGAAAGAAATGACAGAAGTCCCAAAAGAGACTTCCTGATATCAAAGGATTACGTAGGGCCAATATGAAGCCATGGCAGACAAAAGCTAAACCCTAGACATCCCTACACCTTACGAACTGGCTGAAGGAGAAAGGCTGTCCGAGGAAAATAACGTAAGCGGGACACAGAGGAAAAGGGAAAGAACAAGGTCACAAAAAGCCCAGATTAACAGGTTAAGAGATTTCAGCAAAGAGACTGCCCCTATGCTGTTGTTTCAGTACAATGCAGGCAGTGTAACCTCATCTTGTAAAACCTTTGTGGAGCCAAGCCACAGCTAGCATAGGAACAAAGGAGAAGGTAAATGAAATAGCTAATTAAAAGATACCCACATCTGGAGTGCTGTAAACGAAAGGACACTGAGAAACTGGACAGAACCCAGCATATGGCCACTAAGGCAGTGAAGAACCTGGAGCACAGCGAGACAGAAGAAGCTGGGTTTTTCAGCTTGGAAAAAAGATGTTTAAGGAGGGACTTAACAGCTGCCTGAGACTACCTAAAAGGGGACTTTGTGGGGTTTACATACAATAAACCAGATTCTTCTTTGTGGGACACAGTAAAAGGTCAAGAGGCACCAGGCATAGCTTGCAGCAAGGGAAATTCTGATTAGATGTGGGGAAAAGCTACACACATGCTCCCCCACAAGGGTGGTTCAGCAATTGCCACAGGTCCCCAGGGAAGCTGGGGAATCTCCACTCCTGGAGATGTTCGGGACTCACCTGAACAAGGCTCTGAGCAACCCGATATAGCTTTGGGGTTAGCTCTGCTGTGAGCACTATGTTGGAGCAGGTGATCCAGAGGTCAAAGTGGTTGTCAAAGGATGAGTAGAGGAAGAGGTTATATAGAGAGTTTCTTTTCCCTCTGTATTCCCTAAGCCTTCATTTGCAGCTACCTCAAATCCATACCAAATTTAGCATCCTTTGACAAGGAGTTCCATGGCCCATCTACACAAACACTCCCTCCTTTGGCTTGCTTATAACCTGCTCCCTTCCTCATTTTTATTAATGTCTGATTGTTGTAAGAAAGAAAAAAATCAGTGACCGATTCCTGATTCCTATTCACCCCATCCAAACTGCTCATGATACCGACCTGTAACGTCCTTATCCTTCCTCAGCTCTTTGCTGGACTGAAGACTCTGACTCTGTTCTACACCTCTGATCATCTTTGCTGTCCCTCTCCGAGATGTTTCCAAGACTGGTGTGTTGTTCTGGAGATAAGAGTGAAGGATGGCACAGAACTGCAGTGTTTCAAGATGCTGGTGAGTCATGGACAGTGGTGATTTCTGCTAATTGTCCACCTCTACCAAGCATTAAGCCAGCAGTTACATAGGCTTATATATGACCACAGGCTTACAACAGAGAGGTTATGATTAGTTCACAGTTCATTGTTTTACATGTAAATTTTGAATTTTTTCTGCAGGAACATTGTTTTACATATGCCTATAGGGAATTTCAGCTGCTATTCTATTGCCCATTCACTATCACAAGGTCCTCCTGCAATTATTCATGGTCAGCTCCCACCCTATTATCCCGAATAACTCTCTACCACCAGCCAGTTTTCTCACCTCACCAAGTTCTATTTCCAGATCATTTGGGAATATACTGAACAGCAGATATTCCAGGTTAGGCCTGTAATCCGGCCACTGATGACTTCCCTTTGCTTTAAGAACTGGATGCTTATTCCCACCTTCCAGTTCTTATTTTCTACTAATTCTTCACCCAAGAAAAACTTCATCTTCTTTCTTATGTCATGACTTTAGCTTTAGTTAAAGACTTCGATGAGAAAAATCTTGTCAACTAATTTTTTGGAACTCCAAGAAAACTGTCTCAACCAGACCTACCTTATACACAAAACTGGAGTTTTACAAAGAGTTGCCTTTCCAAAAGCAGATGCTGACTCTGTCTTCAATATCACACTCACTGACATCTCCATTATACCATCTACTCTCTTGCCCAGGTATCAACTTTATTGTTCTATGCTTCCCTCACACCCGGGGGATCTCACTTGGAGACCTTTCTGAGCATTAGCATTGTATTTGATACTTCAAATCCTCAACACTGAGATGATTTTAGTCAGGATGCACAGAACTGCATCCTAGTTCAGCTGTTGGCACAGAGAGAAAGCCATCTGGGCTTGGGTAATGGACACATGGAACATGGGACCCCAGGACAATGCTGGACCACCGTGGTTTCCCAAACTACAGGGTAGTGAATCCCATTTCTGTGCATCATGCCACTGCAGTTTCCAGAGCAGAGCAACTGGTTGGACTGACCCTGAAGATTTTATGTCCTGCTGTTCCATGAAGGGCTAGAGAGACTGTAGTGAATCAAACAACAACCAGCCACCTGCCCTGTCTCTGTACAGAAACACTCAGAGACACCAGCAGAAAACCTGTAGCAGATGGGGCATCACAAACCTGCTTGTCTTTATCAAAGTGAAACGGTGCAACCGTAACAGCAGTAAGAATCTAAAACACCATCAATTCCAGTCCTCCAGCTACCCTGAGGCTCCTATCAGAAGGTGGGTTTTTCCCTTCTGTGCCCACTTCCTACTGCCAGTATTTGTGTTTTTCTCCCCAAGTCCTGTTCGCTTCCTCTAACTGGCATTCACAGCACTCACCCACAGGATGGCATCAGGATCTTGACTCTCAGATCCCCTCTGCCGGAGGACTGACAGCGGCTGGTGAAGAAAATACCACAGCCCTTAACCAGGGTGTCCTACTAAAGAAAATAAAGCAACATTGGAATGAGCAAGTCAGTTTCTTGAGACAGACTTGGAGGAGCAACCAAAGACCCTGTCAGAGAAGGGGTGGAACTGCAGCCTCCCAAAGGGGCTGGATGCTCCTGCAGTGAGTGCCACAGCGCAGTCAGGGTCTGCAGCACCTCCTCTGACCCACCTGTGTCGGATCGCTCAGTCCCGAACTCCGCCTGTTCCTGGGCGGACTGAGGAGAAGGCAGCTCCAGGTCAGCCAAACCGCAGAGGGTTTAATTCTCACCGTTTGCAAAGCACTTCCTGGGGTGTAGTTAATGAATAATTAGGGGGGTGGAGGAAGGCCAAGGCCGAGCTGGGACAGGTAGATAGAGACAGAAGGGACCGACTGCGCTTCCTGCCTCCTATCCATTGAGCTCACACCCTTGCTGGTTACATTCCTGTCTTGTTTGTAACTGAAGGCGGAATAAGAGACAGCTCACACCTGGCTCACAGCTCCCAGTTCTCCAAGGCCTGGCTTCATCA